TGTAAAATCTACTGCATGCATTGCTAGTCACAATGGCTAGCTACACATGTTTGGCACGATAGGCAATTTTGAAGTTCCAATCTCACTACTTGAAGAAAGTTGGTATATAGTATAATCAAACTCACTGCCGATTTGATTCAAGAAGTACATGTGGACTAGAATCTTGTGAGAACCACAATGGTTTGGGCTTGCTATGATACGTTTATCATATTGCAACACAGTGCGGTGGCTTTAGGCGAATACTTGCTCATTTCAAAAATTGTTGTTTTCGGAGAACAATCAGACAGGAAGAGCTTCCTCCTCGAAACGTTATTGGGATTCATGTTCAATGTCCGCTAGGAAGCGCTCGTACCGTTATCTGTCAATTGTTCTTCACAGGTCAAGACAAGTCATAATATTCACATGAAGTTGTGAAGTTAGAGTAGCTTCTAACGTCAACCAATTCCTTCGACTGCCCGTTGAAAATTTGCGTGTAAGGTGCTTCATGCATAGATTGTGATGGTATGATGCAACTACAACTACTGCTAGAACCAATTCAAAGACATTCTATGATAGCTCGCTTGAAGTCGATGAAAGTAATAGAAATTGATTATCAGTATGAGGTGATTGAAAGAATTCTTGTTGATCTTTACCAAAATCTATACCTCCATAACCTATTATAACTTTGGATTTATTAAAAAAAAACTTCTTCCTTTAATGAGAGTGACGGCCGTGCGACCAGCGAGTGGGCAGGATCGTATGTCAAGTGACGATACTCTTGCGTGATATGACCGATAGTGGTCGCGGTTGGCAGGATGAATGTAGTTGGTGTGGCAGTCATAGTCGGTCTTGCAAACCACAATCGGCAAAGCAACTACAATCGACAAGACAACCGCGATTGATAGATGCTTGACAACAAAATTGATGCTTCATAGTCGACAGCAACAGAGACGATGATGGTGACGATCCATAATAGACGGCGACAATCAACTATTGACAATAACGGTTAGTCGCGAACGACCGTGAGTCGCGGACAACATTGATACTTAATTGCGGACACAATCATAATAAGTCGTGGACAACTATCGCATGTGACACGTGGAGTACTAACTAGACCGTAGCTCCTTCTTTTGAATTACATCTAAATTTTGCTTTGTCATCTGGATTGATTGCATTCAAAAGTCATGGATAGTCAAATTCAGAAAGCTACTATGGAATTTTGTTCAAGGAATATTGAAACATGCGAATTCAGATATCATGAACATGCAAAAGATTTTAATATCAACCTTGGAATATAGAGATTTAGATTCAAATTGATCTTGGTATGAAAATGTGATGAAGAATGTTGTTGACGACTTTTTTTGCGAGAATACCCTAGTGCCATCTTGGTTAGATATGCCCACAAGTGCGAAGGAGTATGCAGTAACATCATAGGAAGTTGAGACATCGGCTTGTAGTATTTGACTCAATATTGTCATTGTTCATGGCGGAGATAGATCGGTTACAAAACTCATATGCTGATATTGGTTTCATTTTGATTGCATTGCTTCGACTTTTATGGCCAAGTGATCAATGTAGTACTCCAATTGCAAGCATGTAGAAAAGAGACATTAGTTAGATGCGAACGAGTAGTGTTCGTGTGACAACCCATATGTTGGAGGAAAATTTTTGAGTTTATAACTATGCAATTTAATAGCCTATAAGATTCTTGTTAGTATGGATATGTCTTTCATTGATACTATATCACTGAAAGAGTTGGATAGTTCTCCATATTAACAAGTGAAAATCTTCGTTGAGGAATATGGGTGCGGAGAAGTTTTATCATTATGTGACTAATCATCAAGATGTACACGTACAAATTTTGTTTAGTAGATATAAGCACAGCATTATTATGCATTTATTGAGACAAAAGTGTATAGTAAAATGATTGAGCTAGTCAAGATTAACGGTAAACTTTGAAAATTGAGCTAGTTAAGATTGATTATAGATTATGATAATTGAGCTAATCAAGATTAATGTGAAACTGTAATGATAAAGCTTATCAAGATTGACATTAAACTTTGAAATGTGAGTTAATTAAAACTGATTACAAACTTTGATAATTTAAGGAGCTAGTCAAGATTGACTGTAAACTCAATCCAACTAATGCGTTGATCAAAGTTATTATTTGGAGAGTTTCAACCGACATTGTGCTATCAAGCAGGTTGTGCATGGAAGACAAAGCTTGAGTGTGCTAATATAGTATTTTTAATTATTTTTTCTTATATTTACTTAATTATGTAATGGCTTGTTCTAGTTGACTCTTGTGTAAAGAGAGTCATTGTATTAGTTTTCTTTCTAAAACTGTATTACATAGATTACAAAATTTTTGTCAACTCTATGCTAGCAAGTTTTTAGTTAACTCTTTATGTTATTCTTCTATCATGTTATGACTACAGCTTAGGTCTACTTAACTCTTGTATACAGAGGAAGCCTTGTGTTAAAATTCTGTATGAAACTTTCCACTGAGGAATAATGTGCATTATTGTTTCCGTAACATGAGTTAAAGAGAAGATTGTTGGAGTTAACTCTAGTTGAGGAATAATACTCGAGTAACTCGAGTTTTAGCTAATTATAGCTATGACGTTAGCCTTTACTAGGGTTCAACACCCCAATTTCTGCCGTATACAAAGAGCATTTCTTGCTAGACCTAAGTAATAGATTCACGTGTGATCTTTCTTCATGGACTAGGTCATCGCAAGGGTGCATCACGTTATACACTAGTGTTTCCTGTTGTTTGTTGGACTGAATGTTTCGTCATTGTGTTTATTGGATTTTACATTCACATAATGATTAAATTTCAAAATTAGATAAAAAAATTTCAAATTTTCATGATAGTGTTTAAAAATACTCACAAAGTTAAGTTAATATTTCAATAAACAAATTATTTTGGTATTTATATTTATTGTAAAAAATAATAAAGATATATTACTATTTAAGCTCATGAGTATCATATTCAATGCAGATCCTATGATTTTTTTTAAAGTTTATGATATTTATTATGATACACAATTTTGTAATCTACAATAACAAAGTAAATTTATTTGAAGTTTTATTGATTTAAACATGACATTGGATTCAACTTATACCAAAACCTATTATTTATTTGAAATCTATGTGCTGGATTTCAAAACATTTATATTCATTACTCTTGAAAGATTTTCATTGAGTCAAATTTTTATAACAAGACAAAATTTAGGTGTGGTGTTTGATTCAAGTTTTTAAGTATTAATAAGAGTAATTTCAAAAATTATAATGAATATCAACAAAATTTAGAAAAATTTGAAATTAAAGTTATAATTGATGCTATAATGATTGACTCAAGTTTAGCTTTTCATGTATTGCATCAAAGTATTGCAAAAATGATATCTGAAAATTTTATAATCAAAATATTACATTTTGATCCTTTTTTTGATTTGATAACAAAATTTAAATTTACATATCATATTTTATTCTAATTTAACACTTCTTTAACTTGAAAAAAATATATTTGTTTGCAAGATTTGAATCATGTTGAATATGCAATAAAATTTATTCTTTGCAGTTTTATAATGAGCTTGAACCGCAAAATCTAATTCAAGTTTAGTATTTAATTATGTGCATAATAAATCTCATTAATATTGAACATCAAATTACATCGCCATATATATATATATATTTATTTATTTATTAACACACATATTGCACAATAGTTCATGACAATGAAGTTCAAATTGCTTTCTTTACTGGATTTAATATTGACTTAAATTATGTGCATCAGATTGCTCAAAATCGTACTTCAAAGTCATAATAATTCAGTACTAATAAACGAAACTTTTATTTGATTGATGTGATAATATTCAATCCGTGGATAGTCCCATGCGTGAGATACAAACTCGATACTATTTTAATTTTCCGATTTGATGTGTTATATTTTGCAATTACATGTGTAATATTACAAATGTAATCTCAACATAATGTTTTAGAACATTATATTGGTAGGATTATGAGATTACGTCATCCATCAAATTATCATACATGCATGGTTTTTCTGCATCCATGTTTTTTTTGTCGCATCATTAAATAACACAAGATTCAAAAACGACGAGAAACATCAAACTCTCATGAAGTAAACTAATTCCATTAACGTACACATATAAAACTCCAGAACGTCTTACAATGAAGTTGACGACGACAGCTCATGTACCAATATGGAGTATAAGTTGTTGATGCGGAGATCACAGTTGTGTGAAAATTATGAACGTATGACTTTGTAGTTCTTATAATATGTTCATGTCATTTATGAAGATAATTTACAATGATTATTTAGTAGAGAACAGCCAAATACTATCAATCGGTATGTATAGATGTTTTATACAAACTAGCTAATCTGTATTATGATAGGGTTGATACAAAAATGGAATACAAATTATATGAAATCATGTGGTTTCATATATTTTGAATTAACATTTGAATATCCATTCATAAACCTATTAGAAGTACTTGATCCACGTATCAAATATAGGAGACTATCATTCCTCTTAAAACTCTTAAAACTAGTACATCTACTTAGAGTATCTTCGGGCAATGTCTAAAGTTTGCAAATGAAACACGCGATTACAATAAGCTGAAATGTTGTGACTGTGCTTGTCGAGGTAACATTCACTTTTCTCATTTTTCTTCGAGTTTATATTTTTTCCAAAATCCAAACACAAGAAATGATTGAAGAATTTTCTGAATGTGAATATTGTGAATCAAAAGATTTCATTATACGTTATTGAGGAGTGAGGAAATTAGCAGCATAATATGCATGACGTTTTTGTTTTCAAGAAGACTAAACTAGTTGTAAGGAAAGTGTATAATTTCTTATTCCCAGTGATATAAGATAAGCTTGTACAGATTATTTTGTATTATCATGTATAAATAATGCACAGATGTCTGCTATTGCATCGTTGCTTGACGCTGAATCTATTAGATCAAACCGAATTTGAACCAGCATCTCAATTATTAAGACACCAAGCGGGCCGTTAGGTCGTGGATGTGCTGCACGAGTGCCCATTCTCCAGAGGACAGAAATGTGCCTGTCGATTGGCGAGACGATGGTTGTGGCCCTTCTCTTGCATCACATGGACCTTCAATTGTAACAATTGAAGAGCTAGCAGACGATGTTACGCAACAGCTTCCACCAAGTCATGCCCAGGCCATGGTGGATGATGAAATTCCCAGTACAGCATCATCCGTTTTTAGAACTGTTGGGGAGCATTCAGGAGCGCGGATATATGCAGCAGCAAATATGAATCCCGATTTCAACCCTAATGCTCCTCGTACTGCAGAAGTTCCAGTAATGAGTAATGAGGATGGCCTAGACATAGAGGAAGAGATGCTCCGAGCAGCCATCGAGGCTTCTCGGCGTGAAGCCGAAGAGGCGAATAGGAGATCGGCTGCCCCTCCCCAGGTATATGTGATTAAAATCGATTCTTTTTTTCTGGTGGTGTGAGTCAAATTTGGAGTCCAGGTTGATGTCCTCGGATTTTAGTGGGGTCCGTAAGTCCTGCTCTACTTGTCGATACAACAAAATAGACCTAACAGGACGACTCCATACATGCCTCAGGAAGTCACAGGAGGCAATCCAGTTGAAAGATTTCCTGTCATGAGATCAACAGAGGACGACGATCTGGCCCGTGCAGTCACTTTATCTCTGAAGGTTGGTCTCCGAAGGTTGCACTCTCTCCAATCTCATTCCTGCCAGGCAGGGAGTAGTACACGATTGCATGATTGGTGTTGAGAAGTTTGAGCCAATTGGTTATGGGGGATTCACTGTGAAGGAATAATTCAGGCAAGTAGTAGAGAAATGAAATGACGAGTTGTGGGCTGGATGGTAGACTGCGGAGCTAGAGAAGGCCATGCGGGAGCGTGTAGGAGCATCTTCCGAATCAGCGTTTATGCAGGAGGATGAAGATATTCCATCCATAGACGATGTAAGGCGACGTGAGAATTCGAGAAGGTCAGTATAGCGCTTACAGTTTGTGGCTTGTAATTGGAGTACACTTGTCGATTGTGGAAGACTATGGTATCTTCGTTCAAGTTTATACGTTATTTTGCTTCTATCTTTGCCAAAATTGTGTGCTGGTTTGCTTGGAGTAGATTGTCTTCTCTCGTTCAAAAGTTCTGTGTATATCCCTATGCGAACCTCATGATACACCGGTTCACACGGAACTTACACAGGAAAAATTGTCGGACAAATAGCCTGGATAGGAGACCAGTGATCGGAAGGAATGTTTCAAGAGTTTTTTTATTATACTGCTGAAAGAATCATGCAGTCTCACAGCCTAAAATTTTTGATCTCAACAAGAGGCTTACTGCTTATAAATATGTAGAGTCTCATCTTATGGATTGTTTGGCAGACCAGTTGCGCCTTGTTTTGATAAAAGTAGGGCAGAGGATGGGGAATTAAATTTCTAGCCTGGTCATTGGACTGCAGCAGGTTTTCAAACCATTACCAAAATTTTACATCGACTTTGTGGAAATGAAAGAACTTTATCCTTTGCGCTGAGTGCTTGTTCAACATATGACTATGGGTTTGTAATAATAACAGTAATCAGGAGAAGCTAGGACTCACACTTAAAGTGCGTGATAATTGGGTTCCAATCATCATTACACCCGTCTAAAATTTTCAACTTTTGTGCTGGGTATTCAAGATGTGTTGCATGGTAAGACCGAGACTGTAACAGCAATATCGGCTTGATCATATATCTATACACTACATGGACTAGTGGACGTGGCCTATATGGCTTAATAATTTCTTGTGGTCTTTCTTTGGAGTAGGCCTGTATCGCAGAGAATCGATTTGGAGCGAAGTGATTGGATGGAGGAGGATGATCCTGCTATTGACATTCCTATAAGGCCTACTGCTCCTAGTGCTCCGCCCAACCCGTTTGTTCCTGGTCCCTTGAATCCTTGGGAAGTAACCGAATATGGGCTACCATTAGTAGGCAGACCAATTGGGCCAGTAAGTCGTGGAAGTGCTCCACGCGTATCCCATCCTCCAGATGTCAGAAATGTTCCTATTGATTGGCGGGACGATGATAACAGCCTTCCTCTTCCGACATATGGACCGTCAACTCTAAGAATCGAGGAGCTAGCCGATGATGATACACAACAGCTTCCACCAAGTCATGCCCAGGCCATGGTGGATGATGAAGTACCTAGTACAGCATCATCTGGTTTTAGAACAATTGGGGAGCAATCAGGAGCGCGGAGATATCCAACTATGCCTTATCCAGGAGCAAATATGAATCCCGATTTCAACCCTAATGCTCCTCGCATTGCAGAAGTTCCAGTAATGAGCAATGAGGATGGTATAGATATAGAGGAAGAGATGCTCCGGGCAGCCATCGAGGCTTCTCGACGTGAAGCCGAAGAAGCGAATAGGAGATCGGCTGCTTCTTCCCAGGTACTTGTGATGAGAATTGGTTTTATTTTGTTATGGTGGTGTGATTTTTAGATCAATTTTTGAGTTGAGTTGTGTTTGTCGTAGGTTATTGATCTCCGTAGGTCGTAAACTTGTTGATGCAACAAAAAATATCTAATAGTACGACTCAATACATGCCTCAGGAAGTTACAGGAGGCAATCCAGTCGAAAGATTTCCTGTCATGAGATCAACAGAGGACGACGATCTGGCCCGTGCAGTTACTTTATCTTTGAAGGTTGGTCTCCAGAGCCTGCACTCTCTCCAATCTTATTCCTGCCAGGAATGGAGTAGTACATGATTGCATGATTGGGGTTAAGAAGTTTGAGCCATTTACAGTGATCGGGGGTTCACTGTAAATGATTAATGTACTCAAGTTGGAAGTAAATTAAATGATGAATTGTGGGCTGGTTGGTAGACTGCGGAGCTAGAGAAGGCCATGCGGGAGCGTGTAGGAGCATCTTCCGACTCAGCGTTTATGCAGGAGGATGAAGATAATCCATCCATAGACGACGTAAGGCGACTTGATAGTATGCGAAGAAGGTCAGTATCGTAGCTGCTTCTAGCGTGTGGTTTTCAACCGGAGTTGAGTTTTGCGTTTGTGGAAGACCTTGCTATCTTCGTTCAAGATTATACGCTTGACTGCTTCTATGTTTACCAGAATTTTGTGCTGGTTTGCTTGGAGCAGATTGTCTTCTCTCTTCCAGAAGTCTTTTGTATATCTCTCTATGAAGCTCATGATCCACCAGCTCACACGGAACCGACACCGGAAGAAGTGTCGGACAGTTGGGCTGGCTGGGAGACCAGACACCGGAAGGAATGTCTCAGAGAAGGGCTGGATTGGCAAGGCTCTAAGAACGAACAAACCATTCAATCTGTGGTGGTCCTCAAAATCTGGTTATTCTTGACTTGGGTTCCTAGTTTTGAACTACGTAACAGGACCTGCTTACCGTGTACGCGTGCGAGGTCTTAGGTTTTAGAGTAGTACATACACTCAAACGATAGTGGGCGAGCCTCTAACTTCTTCATTGAAGTGATGTTGTCTTAGTCTTCCTGTGGTTCTGCCGAGAAATCTATGCAATTTCACAGCCTGAAACTTAATCTCAACATGAGTGTATTTTACTTTACGTGTTAGGCGGTCCTGTTGTGCCCAGTGTGGATAGATGTAGGCTAGAGTGGAGAAGTGAAACTTTTGCACCTTTATTTGCCTCGAAAGCGCCGCCTGTTCCTGAGTATTTAAGATATTTCCACCTTAAATGCACCTGGCTGATGCGTGACTACAATGTATACTAATTATCATCTAAATTCAAGACTCTAGCAAAGGTTGCCTATGTTACTTGCATTTTGCTAGAGGCGTAGTTGGTAGGCTCTACAAAGTTTTGCCCAGCTCTTGCCACTTGTTGGGGTTTTCTTTGGACCAGGGTTTACGTGCAAATCCTCGGGTGTGAGTGAGTCTATGGTTATGCTGGACACTCGATACGTTCATATCTCGCGCACGTGAAATCTAAATACCATCTAATCTTGGATTTGAAGTAATGGTGTTTTTTTAACAGGGGAATTGCGCGTGATCGGACCGGAATGGCTCGCGGTGGAGGTACAGATGTGGGAGCGACCAGCTCTGGTAGGGACAAGGGTAGAGTTTCAGGCAGTAGCAGTGGTGCCATTGTTAGCAGTGCTCCTGACGACATCGAAGAAGTGGAGGAACAACCTTTGCTTCGGCGAAGAACAACCAGGCGATCCACATCAATAACGGCTGAACCCATGGTCGTGCCAGATGAAGGAGAGGCCCGGGCTCAGAGTGTCCGAGGGGTGACCGACCAGAGGGATTCATCTGTTGTTCCTAATGCTCGTATCACCAGCTCTGGCGACGAAGGTCCCGCAACCGCTGCAAATGCACCTAGTCAACACGATGTTGATCCTTTTCCATCAGATGAGGTGAGCTTTGGAGAGAATCGGAGCATTTGAGCTGATATTAACTTATAACCTGTAAATTGAATATCATTGAAATCCAAGATGGACATTAGTGCGTGGAGTTAAACGTTTTTGTTTCATCCTGACTTTCTGCCACAAGGCTGGATTAATTTCACAACTAAATTTTCTATTCGATAAAACCTGTTTCACCTTCTTTCTACCTTTGCTCCTACTTTATTGGCTACTGAACGAGTGCATTTGGTCATTTAAGCTTCTGTATCGTGGACAGAGCTGAGTATAGGGCAAACTCATCTCCCAGTTTTAAAGCATGTGGAAAGTTTTCCCATTCAGGCTTTTGGAAGATATTTATTAAATTCGTTAGGAACAAGAAATGAAGACCACTAATTTTTGGACTGGGCTCTTTTCGTTTTCGTCAAATGTGCAGTGGGGAGGAATATCATCCGAAGAACATGATGAAGCTGTTATGCTCGAGGCTGCCCTTTTTGGTGGGCTCCCGGAGGGATCAGGCTTGGGGCTCCCATATCATGCACGCCGTGGTATACACACGGACGTGCTCGATGACATAGCTGGTGGAGAAAGCGCAGGCCTTATGGCAGCGTTCAACCGTCGGGGTTTCCCTCAGCCTCCTTCTCCCACAGTTGTAGCTCAGCGGCTTCTTCGTGAGCAACAGGTATGCACCCTGCACCTCCGAAGTGATCCTTCGGTTCTTGACGGCGCGTGAGTAGGTTATTACTAATCAGTTTCTCAGTACATTTCTTCGTCCAACGAATCCTTTGCGGTTACTTGCAGGACGACGAATATCTTGCATCGTTGGCAGCAGATCGGGAAAAAGAATTGAGAGCCATTCAGGAAGCTGAGGCACAGCGCGTGAGAGAACAGGAAGCTGCTGCGGCCGCTGAATCAGAGGAACAGCTTCGTCGAGAAGAAGAAAAAAGACAGAAAGAAGAAGCGGAGGAGTTGGAAAGACAACTTACAGCGAAGAAAGGAAAACTCCCAATGGAACCCGCAGCGGATGCTGAAGGTGCTGTAACCTTAGTCGTACGGTTGCCAGATGGGAGCAGACGTGGACGTAGATTTCACAAATCGAACAAGCTCCAAGTAAGTAATACCTTATAATTTTCCCGGTGACTCTTGCAGTACTTTCACTGACGTCAGACGTTTGCTCCGTGTTTTGGCCACAAGTGCTTGATGCGCGATGTCAGATACTGGTTTAGTTTGTTCACCTTTCTTAACTGGAGAAATTAGACATTGGAGAGTTCCTTTGCTAGGTACTGAGAAGATTGATCTATGTCATTACTCATGGAATATGTGGTGTTTTTCTCTCCTGGATGCAGAATTTGTTCGACTTTATTGATGTTGGTGGAGCTGTAAAGCCAGGGAGCTATAGACTGGTGAGTTGATGTTGTCTATTGCGGATATCTCTTTAAAACTTTGCTTTTAACTGTTGCGAAGATTGATAATTCTGAATTTGATCTTAGACAAGTTAGCAGTCTCCTCTGCTGAATTAACCCATCTTTTGTCTTGTCCTTAGCATAGCCTTGCCCGTCTCATCTCACCCCTTTCATGTGGAGTCCGTATGACATGCCTCTTTTCACAAGCGTACTGGTAGATGAAGCATTGGACTTGATAACGACGTAGGAACTATACGTGCATTGGCCTTTTCATGTAATTACAAAAGAATTCGTCGAGGTATGCTCATTTCATATGCAATCCTTCTGCTAAAGAAGCCGTATTGTCCTTGTTCTTCGGTGTTTTTCGCACAGGTCCGCCAGTTCCCTCGTGTGGCTTTCACAGATGGCGAACATGCCTCCTCTTTGGAGTCTCTGGGACTTACGAGTAAACAAGAGGTCCTGCTTTTGGAGTTGATATGAAAGTCTGGTTTGAAAGTCATGGTTCTTCCTTCGATATTCGTATATTATAAATAGAGAGAGAGGTGCATAGATTGTCTTCTTACATTTGTGATTACACTAAAAAGCGGAACTTTAGGTGCTTCTTGTAGCTCTTGTCAAAGTTTTGCACACATCGTCATTAATAACACTGCTGGCCATTATTTGGCATACACATTCATCATCTCGGTGGTTTGGACCCAAACTCTGTTCAGAATTGTTTGCTGTTTGTTGGCGCTCCCAAATAAAGCAACGTGAAGACTATTTTGCTTCGTTCTTCATGGATATATGGATAAATTGTTCAAGTGTTTACCGCGAAGAGTTTTCTTGAGCTTTAAAGACTCAACTTTCGGTTCCTCCCAAGAGGGATATGTTCACCACGTAAAAGTCCGGAGTGTATTATAGCCTCCATTACAAAGCTTGCAGCACGCGTACTCAATCCGTCGTGCTCATCGACACCAGTGAAGATCATTTTAATTTCGACCATGTTGTGCTAATGTGCAATCCTATCAGTAACTTGAAAACAAAGCAGTAAACACAGTAAAGATTCTGTGATTTTGTTCGTGATCTAGTGGAGAGGCAAATTGTGAGCTGAGTGAACGGTCAAAATTTGTTTTCACCGCTGTGATTATAAGTTGCTTTATATGTATTACTCAAATTACGTGAAACGTGTGAAACGTGGGAAGGAGACTTCAAAGTTTGGACTAAATTTCATCGTCTCTTCATACACGAACGAATGATACGTGTTCCTCGTTCGTTCATTATACCCTCAGAACTTCGACACAATGTTTGTGATTGGTATGGGAGATTTGATAATAAATCTGTGCAATTCAAACAATGGACAACACAGCAAATGCAGAACTATCTCTTTTTTGAAAGCCGTCTTTGTGGAAGTCATATTTTAGACGATGATGCAGATGGTCTGGGTAGAAGGGCTATTGCAACGACGGTAGTCCTGCAACTGATAGTCAATTCAAACTTTGATTTGAAATCGTAAGAACTTCCTCACTTCTGAATTAAGTCTTCCCGTTGTTGCTATTACTGACGTATCTGAATTGCGTTCTCGATGAATTTCCCGGCATAACTATATTAATGGAAATCTTCACAGCTTAATCTAGACTACAATTTTATCCATCGTTGTTGATCCTTGTAACAGCTAGAAGATCTTGAAACAATAAACAGTAATTTATTTGCTCATCAAAACTATCAAGAGCATTGAGATTCAGCTTACAAGATTGGACTTACGGTACCGACCTGTGGATGGAAGTCAAAACTCTTGTTTAACCACAAAAAAAGACGAGAGATGCAGAGCTCACCATTTATGCAAAGACGACAGTTGAGAGCATGAAAACCCTATCGACCCAAGCCTAGTAGTAATTTTAAGAGAGAGTTCTTGTAGAGAAGTTCATTGGGTTAACGGCCAACAAACTATTGATGGACAATTTTCTCCTCTGACTTTTCTACATACATACTTTTCAGTTTACATACATACGCCTCACATAAGTGCATGCTAAACTATTTATAACTCAGGTTTTGGTTCTCAATACCTCACTCACAAAAAATAAAATTATTATTTCCACTAATCCAGGGTAGACCATTACATACGTTGTTTGATTAGCCAATTATCTGATTCGCGTGTACATATATATAGTTACATTCTATCAGTCCGTAATTTTATCTAAATATCATATAGAGAAATGTGATAAAGCAGTTCGCTAAGTCAAGAGTAACAACATGAAATTTTTTTTTATGTTCGATTCTTCGTTATAAACACAATGAAAAAAAGATGTAAGCGTTCTTATGAGTACTTCAACCCTTAATTAACTTGATTAATTAGTCTGCGTGTGCAGCCAGCCGGTTCTGTGTATTCTACAAGACTTCCATATTACACGCCAGAGTCCTTTGTGACTATGTGGAACTGAGCTTACATTCCTTTACTTAGGTTATGTGAAGTCCCCAATTGAGAGTATGGAGATTAATAATGAAATATGAGTTCATGCAGCTCCAGTAGAACTTCCGTGATTGTGATTAGGCCTGAACCAGGTTGCCCAAAAATCACCTCCCCACTTCAGGGATGGTTAAAAACCTGACCTGAATACAATGCATGCAAGAAAGTTCCGAACCAAGTGTGATAAAGTTTCCTAGTAAAAGCACCAACGCAAGAGATCGTCCTATACTCCAAGTTATCTTCTAGCAGTTCATGCAAGTTTCTTGCTCACACGCACAATTGTGTGGTAGTGTTCTTCATACTGTTGTTGTGACCGTTATCGTAATGTACTGTATTGCAGTCCAGGGGGAACTTGACGCCTTGGACGAAGATGTAGCGAAAGTGTGAAACAAAAATGGTAAACCTAATACAAGCAAATATAACTTACGTGACAAAAAAGGGCTTTATAACTAGAGTCAAAATATAACTCTTAAACGCAGAATCTGAAGCAAAACTTCAGGATTGAAGTACATCTCTCTTTCACTCTCTCACACACACACACACACACGTGTGAACGTAAACTATAATGGGGTTTCAACTGTGCCCTGAATTTCGTTCTTTGTTATACAAGGCTCCCTGATGTAGCTCGACGACGTCTCCAGTATTGAATGATTGGGTACTTCTCTCAGTTACCGGATTTTCATTCTACCATTTCGCCAAACATGTCTATCCGAAGAATGCATGATCAAGTTTGAATCCAAGTCATACCTGTGAGCCATGACTGATCCAAAGTAACAAACCTTTTGAGAAATGGATAGGTCAGTGAATAGTTATGGAGAGAAACCATGTCTTGCAACCGGTTGTGTTTTCCTCGTAGCTAGACCAAGAAGGTGACTCCACAGCGTCCACAGCGAAGAAATTAGAAAAGAAGAAAAGAAGTGAGTACGGGGTGAATTCAACTGTAGTAGGATCTCAGACGGACGCGAGTCGCTTGCATGTGGCCAGACGCGTTTATCATGGACGGTCGAGCCTCGGCTTTTCGACCCGACCAGAGAGCGAGGACATGAGATCTGAACTTCCCCCGAGCCTCGGAGTTCAGGCTCTCTCCAGTAGACAGCAGCCGCAGCTCCACGACGGAACGAAAACAACGAAGAGAGACTTCCTGACCACCAAATCCCATCGACCCGGTGGGAGCGCCCAATGTAGGATTGGAGGCACAGCAACATATTTTGAGGCATGCCCGTGCCCCATTTCAAGGTCAAAAGGCATGCCCGCATTACAATACAAACATTTGATTATATGAAATTATGAAAGTAGAACATTCTTAGAAATAAAATGGTTAAAAAGTTTTAGTAGATATATAATTATTTGTTTATACATACAGTCGTAGAGCGAGGGCACGAGGCATGCCCCATGCCCTCGCCCTGGGCATGCCCTTTGAGGTTATTACTCCAACCCTAGCCCAATGACTGATCGCATCCTCTATTTGCAGCCCTCCTGTCCAGTTCCAAGATGCTTTCGGGCAGAACCTCGTCAAACCAATTACAGTCGAAAGGCTTCTCCATATTCAGAGATTCAGATTGGAGTATCCCTTAATGTCACTCTTGTGGCTCGGGAAATAGCATCACCCGAACCATGTCTTGGGAGATAATGGGAGCTAGGAGCTACTAGGATGGGGACGAGCTAGTCTGGGAAAATTGGAGTCATGTAAAAGTGTGCTAAATTGTATTTATATATAAATCGCTCAATGTTACATCATTGCATAATTCATGTTATTTAGAACGTTTTCATTGTTTACATCTATCATTGAATTACGCTATATATATCAAATAAAGATTAAATGATGCAATATCAAATACTCATGTAATTTGTAAATCGATTCATCTAGATTTTTAGGTTACTATAAAATACTTTCTAGCCCATGGCTTGATAGAGTATTTTCACACTTGCCTATCTTCTTGGCGGTTGAGAAGAAGTTCCAACTCATAGACACATCATCAACAGAAGAAATCATACGTAGAAAAATAATGGACACCATACATATGTGGTTCATCAGTGATGAACCACATATGTATGATGTCCATTAATTATAGGGTTGGAGGCACAGCCAAAAAGGCATGCCCCCGGGCGAGGGCATGGGGGCATACCTCATTTGCATTTTGTGTATGGGGCATGCCCGTATGTATATACGTATTAATCATACTATAACTTCGGAATATTCGTATATGCGTCGTTTTTTTCTTCTATCCAGGTGCGAAACTTTTTATGAACTTACGTCCCAGGTATTAAATCTGGTCTGGCAACAGCACTCAGACTCTGGCGTAGGGATATAGTGGACGTGGAAAACTCTTTAGTGTAATGGTTTAGTAGTTAGAATGTGATGTAGTTGTATAGTGCATGTGGAGATCATCTCACAGTATATTGTGCTGTGTTCTATAAATTATAAAGCATTGTTCAGTATACACTAATTACAACTAATTGTATATTAATTATAGTTACTTATTATACGTATACTCATGTATTGTACTTAAATTTATGTATACTTTGTATATATCAGATATATATGTATTGTAATACGGGCATGCCTGGGGGCACGGGGCATGCCTTTTGATCTGGAAATGGGGCACGGGCATGCCTGCAAAAATTTTATCGTGACTCCAACCCAAAGTGATGAATGAACCCAAAGTGATCACTTTGGGCTAAGTTCACGAGAACATAGAGGTTCTATTGAGAGAAAACCCTAATTGTGTCACAAAGAAATTTCACAATATTTTTTTTTTGTGATTAACCAACTTCACTCTCTTAGATTATAATAACCTGAATTATTTTATATGAAATGAAAGAATCTAATTTTATGAATTATTTAAGCTTAGTATAATCTCGGAGAATAAAACTTGTTTAATTTTCAGTATTTAAATTGTTAAATATGTCTCTGTATAAAAAAGTCTAATTTTATGAACTAATTCCGGTTATAATAAACTCAGAGAGTGAAGTTGGTCATTCACTAAATTTTTTTGGGTGATTTTTCTAATGTATATGTTGAACAACAAAAAAAACTTCACTTTTTGAAATTATGATAACCTTAAATAATTCATAAAACTGAATTCTTTCACACTATTTTAGAGATTATACTAACCTTAAATAATTTATAAATTTGGATTCTTTCATTTAGAGCAAAATTATATATATAGTAAAAAATCAACACACTTCAGTTTTTGAGACTATAATAATTTAAAATAATTCATAAAATCAGCTCCTTTCATTTATAGAAAAATTTCATATATAGTAAGAATTTAAAAGAATTCGCTTAATTGAGATTATACTTACCTGAACT